ATCCAGTTTGAAAGTGGATTATTTAGTGTGTGTGACCACAGCATTAGTTTTACAAAACCACCAGCAACAACACAAATTCTGTCCACACACATTACATTTTATAATAAAGTGTTAGGAAACGTTCAATCAATTGTAAAATCATGGGATGCAGATTCTAGCATGCACACTTCTTTTTATTTTCAAGTAGGTAGCTGTGTTGTACTGTTTGCAGGCTGCCTGCTTGTTGCTTGAAAAAGTGAATTCCTGCTAAAATAACCGTCACTTGTAAGTATTTCTGTTTTGGAAGGAATACTTCAGACTAGGCCCAGGTATAAACAAAGTAAATTGTATTTTGTATGAATGACTGGCACTCCCTTTCTTTTTATTACTGAAGAATCTAGATTTCAGGCCTGAAATGAAAAGAGAAAGCAGGAGTTTCTAACATAAGGTCTGGGGGCCAGAACTGGCCCATCCAGGGGTCTTATATGGTCCACAAGCAACTGGCACAAGGGAGGGAACAAAAGACTGCTTGAGGAAAGAAGTGCGTGGAGCCACTCTAATTGCAGCTTCAGCACAATGGAACAACCTCGCCTGCAGCAAAGCAGCATGGGAGCATCTATCTGCCCAGTGTTGCACTGCTGGCTCTCCAGTCCACCCATGTGGGGTTTCCTCTACACCCCCACCCAGCCCACAGGGCCTTGCAGTGAGGATACACCAACTCGGAGCTCACCAGCTGCTGTCCTTTATACAGCTTATATCTCCAATATCTGGCATTACGTTTTATGGCCCAACAAAGTGACATTTATGTCAGATCTGGCCCTTGTAACAAATGAGTTCAACATCAACACACTCCTAGTCTCAGTACTGTCAGCAGTATTATATTTAACTGTGCAAAGGAAGATAAAATGAAATTCTGCAGAACTTGATTCACAATGGAATGCAAAACTACACATGCCACATTCAATGATTTTTAGCCAACAAGGCTTTCTGACATCACAGAATGGTCATATTTGCAGTCACATGCTCAACACAACAGGGGAACAAAAATACTCCCCTGTTCTAACTTGTAATGTTTTTAGGGGAAGGAGGCTCCTTTATTTTACCTGGAGATAATGCATATACTAATGCCATAAATGAAACTGGGAAGAGAACAACCCTATCTGATTATCTTCTATACAAATGAATGCACTGATTAAGGTTCAGGAGAAAGAAGCATTAATGTGCCCCTGAATGTTTCACTTCCATATGCCCAACCTCAATGCAGGACTCACAATGTGAGCAAAATCATCTAAATGAAGGAATAACATTATCACACACTTTCCCAGTGTATTGCTCACACAATTCTCTTCTTCACTTATACAAGAAGAGTTGGTTTTCATACTCTGTTTTTCTCTACCTTAAGGATTCTGAATACCGCTTACAATTGCCTTTCCTTCCTCTCCCTACAACAGGCACTTAAGAACATAAGAACATAAGAGACGCCAATGTTGGATCAGGCCAAAGGCCCATCCAGTCCAACACTCTGTGTCACACAGTGGCCAGAAATACCAGTGCCATCAGGCACTTTGTGAGGTAGGAGGGGCTGAGGGAGTTCTGAGAGAACTGTGAATGGCCCAAAGTCACCCAGCAGGCTTCATGTGGAGGAGTGGAGAATCAAACCCAGTTTTCCAGATTACAGTCTGCCACTCTTAACCACTACACCACACCGGCTCTTATATAAGCAGCTATACACGTATACTGATCAACATATGAAGAGGCAAGGCCTGTTGCCATGCTTGAACTCGCCCTTCCATGTGTACAGTGAACAACTGTGTAGTGATAATGAAAAGGAAAAACTATGATTCTCACTAAATGTATGTTTTGCTCAAGCACATAAACACGCTTTAGAAGTCCCTGGAACATCAAGTGTTAAAGAAACAAAATATTCTGAAGTGACAGTCATTTTTTAAAATACTAAAGTCTAATCCCTGTGATTTATTAAAACTGAGGAGTTAATGTTTTTAAAACGGTATTTTTCCTCTGTGAGCAGCTTGCTAAAAAATGCTTGGTATGTGCTGATATAAACATTTTGGTTTTAGTTGGGGAGGGGGGAAATCCTTCTTCCAACTGTTTTCCATATTTCCCACAAACAGTAATGCTGTCTGGCTTCCTCTCAAACCATTTCTGCCTCTCACAAATTTAGTTCTCTCATGTACTTGTACAGAACACATTTGCCATCCCTTCTTCAAACATTCTAATGGCAGTTATAGTGGGTAGGATCTGCTAATAGATTCCTACTGCTTCTTGGATGAGCAAATGTTTAAATAGAAACACACTACAGGTGGTAGGAATGTTAAGGAATTACTCACTTTGTCCCCATTTGGATTTCCAAAGAAGCATTATATGCTTTTGAACATTAGCAAAAAAAAAATCTTTGCCTTTGATTAAAGTGTGACAGACAGGGAACAGACAGGCAATAGCCAATTCCTCACTCTAAATTAAAGAACACCTCGTGGTACATCCCAGGGATTTTTCTTTTAACATGTTATGGCGATCTCACCCTCTTCCCTCCCTCACACACAGGATTTTCCCTTTGTTTCTTCTTTCATGCCGAGCAGCTCCTGTATCTCTTCTCTTGGTTTTTTTTTGGTCTATCGCTGTCCCACCCAGTCACATTATTATATATTTAGATGCTGACGCAGCCCAGGGAACTGAGGGAAGAGACAAGATCACCTTCTAAACTTATACTTCTGAAATGGCACATAAGAGGCTTTTGAAAGTACAAAATAAGCAAAATATTTTATTTAACTTGGAGGGGAAAAGGTCAGGTGGAATCAGGGGCGGGATGTATGAGTTGAATAGATGATAACTGAGGTAACTTTGTAATCACACTAAATTGAAGATAATTTGTTGCCAACAAGTAGGTGTTTTTGCTTTTCAATAAAGTCTTTGAGATTCTGAGGAGAAGCTTTCTTTTCAGTGTCTGCTTAAACACTCAAACACAGGCTCCTGAGTTTCACCGACTCTTCAAGTTTTAGAAGTCAGGAACACACAACAGAGTTTCCAGAATCGTTCTATAAACATAAACCACGGATCACTCCTCTCTTTAGAGTTACCTCCCTTTTCACTGTGCAGGGATTACTTCTCTAGATTAGAAACTCTGACCCTTTTCGGCTTGAATAGGGATCTTCCGTGATCCTCCCACTCCTCTTTTGCCTCCTTTCTAGTTCACAGTCAGTGCTAAACTGTCTCTTCTTCGTCAGTTCCCAACTGTCATTTCTTAACTGATACTCTCCACAGAGTTCCATTTGAACAGCCTGTACTCAAAGGTTCTCAGACTCTGTTAGAACATTAACCCTTGACAGTCCGTCACACATGTCCAGTCCTGAAGACTGAAGGTTGGACAACAAAGAAGGCCTGTAGTCAGTTATTATGTTGGTTCAAAAAAACAACAACAAAACCTTGGCTAAGGGAGGGCACAAGCCACACTATTTCCCTACTATCTAGGTTTCCGCTGCATCTCACATGACATTTCTGAGATTATTATTTGGTTTTGGAAGCTCCCAGAGTCTCCCCGTGCTATACAATGTTTGGAATTATGCTTACTATGGGTTATAAAATCATGGGCTGAATGACCATTTAAGTAACTGGGAATATGGCTGCCAGCACTGTGGAGGACCAGTATCAGCAGGACAGGAACAGCCGCCTTGCCCATTCCTTGTTGCAGCACAACTCTTGAGCCACTTGGACTTAGATTTGATCCAGCAGCCCAGGCAAGCATTTCAGAAGGAAGTGCCTGCCCAGTGCTTTCTCCCAGAGTGCCCTCGACTGTCCAGATAAAGTCAATGGGCCAGTCCCACCAGGCTGTGGCAGCATTTCATCTATTGCTTCTGAGGCACCCTGAGGCTACTTCGTTTGATGGCCATCATGGTGGGGGAAGAAGTAGAGGGTGTTGTCAGATAATACTTCCAGAAGAAATGAGGAAGGCACCATGTCTTTCACAATTTTGTAAGGGCTGTAACACAGAACCTTTAATAGAACCTTTGGAGTCTCCTGATGACATCTATAATCTGTTGGGTGTTAGGGGAAGAGGCTTTACATGGAGATTATTTACAAGGCTTCTCCTACCAGTCTTAACAATTTGATACTTTTGTCTTTCATATGGTTCTTTATATGGTTTCTAATCTGCTATCTGACTCAGGTCCCAGTTGCTTGGGAGAAAGGCAGATTTTTAAATATTTTAAATAAGCTAACTTCAAAAGTCTATCCTGTAAAAAATTATCATTAGAAATGTACAGAACTCTCTTGTGAAACTGTGCCCATCAGTAAAATCATTTTGTTTTCCCTTGAAATTCCTCAAACATTTTACATGAAGAAGAATCCCTAACTTCATATTTAACATCAGAAGAAATCTATATGGCAACTCAAATATCAGTGGTAACGTTTTGTAAAACTTATTCTGATGCTTATTTTAGACATCAACAGTTAAACATTTTATCTAGAAACAAGCACATAGGTATGTTTGTGCTATGGATCTTGCCTACACATACAAGACAACACAAATACGTGTCAAAGCTGAGCACCAAGGCAATAAGATGAAAAATCACCTTTAAAATTTAGGAGTTGTTTGGAAATGGCCACTCTAAAACAGAAAGGGAAACATAAATGGGCACTTGCTAAAGTAAAAGTAAGCATCTATTGATAAGATTCTTGTTAAAAAGAAAGAAATGGTCTCCAGATTTTCAAAGCATACAGGTTTTCTAGATACATAATTTCCAGTCCATTATCCCTTTAAAACAAAAGGGGGCGGGGTGGAGCTATTAGCAAATACCACACAATAATATCCCTGGGCAATGAAGATTAAAAAGAAAACTCCACAAACCAAAGGTAAATTTGTGCCCAGAAGCTCCATAAAATGCTTACCACATCCAAATGTCTCAAAAATTTCCTCTAAGATTACATGGTACATACTATGTTTCCAAGGTATACTGACATTTCACTAAAGAATACTGTTAGCACACTCAGATCCAAGAAATTCTTACCTCCCCAAAGGCTCCTCGGCCAATCACCTTCAAGATTTCAAAGTCTTCTTTATGCAATCGCATCTGTTTCACTTTAGAAGTGAAAGGCTTGGCTGAAATAAAAGGAAAACATTCTGTGAAGTATCCATATTGTTAATAGTTTGTGGTAAAATCCAGAGTTAAGACCTAGAATGTACAGTGCTGGAACCATTACATAAATTGCCACCCCTCTCCCCTTAAACAAGTGCAAACTGCCCCCCAAGTTACATGATTCTGATACAGAGCCTTGGATTTTCAGAATATTGAAAGTGGATTCTTTAGTGTGTGTGACCGCAGCAAAAGTGAGCCTTTAAAAAAACCAAACATCTGTACAAGACTGAATCAGCTTGCATGGTAATTTCTACCTGAAGACTTCTTTTTTAATCTTTCCTGCTAACTGCTGAACTAACTGCAAAAGTAAGGAAAGCTTTGCTATTTGGAACAAGTTTTTGTTCCCTTTAGTTTCATCCCGACAAAACAATACATCATTCTGGAGAACTTCGTTAACAACTATGAATTTAATAACTACGATTGTTTAAACTCACTCTTTATACGTTTTGATATGCTTTGAATATTGGATAATATATTGTACCATATAGGTATTTAAGCACACTATTTCAGTTTCCTTTGGGTCTGATTATTCAGATTATTGTGGCTGTTGTCCATCCCTTATATTGAAGCTGGTTTTAACATAGTATTTTACCCAAAAACCAGAGCATTGCCCCCAACGCAACGACATCATTTCCAGGTAACATCATTGCATTAGGGACATCCTGAAACACCCCCCCAAAAAAAATACTCCCGCTGACAGGAGACCTGCCAACCCTACACGGAGCCAGCGAGAGTTACATGAAGCAGCACTGCTATATGGAAGCAACTATAATGTTTGATACCATATAGATAGAATTCAGAAAAAAATGTAAAGCACTTTATTAATGTATATTGTCACCTGCTCATAACAATATACAAGCTGACTAGTGGAGAGAGAAAAGTCACCAAAAATTGCCATAATTTTTAGTACTAGGCACTAGCTGGGGGTTTTTTGCTCAGTATTCTTTGCCAGTTTGTTTTTTAATCCATATTTCTGTATTGCGATAAACTGATGAGAAACTTGAAGATCTCAATCCACCTTGAAATAACATTTACTATTTTTATTTACTAGAGTCCCACTACACATTTTTAAAAGGAAAAAAAATTCTTTGAAATATAGATGGGAACAATATATGTTAGCCCAATATAAACTGATTAGCTGGAAAATTTAATGCATGACAGAAAACATGGTACCAGTCTGTGTGGGGGGGATGATAAGTGCTGTCAAGTTGTTTTTGACTAATGGTCCTATGAATTAATGACCTCCAAAACGTCCTATTGTTAACAGACTTGCTCAGGTCTTGTGGCTTCCTTGATTGAGTCAATCCATCTTTCTTATTTCCTGCTGCCTTCAATGTTTCCTAGCATTATGGTCTTTTACAGTGACTCTTGACTTATAATAATGTGACCAAGTATGATAGCCTCAGTTTGGTCATTTTACCTTCAAGGAGGAGTTCAGGCTTGATTTGATTACCAATATACAATAAAAAAAAATATTATCCTGTCCAAGGCTGGCTCCAGTCCCCAACAGACCCCCACCCACTGGGCGAGCCACAAATAACCTAATGCCCAGAGGACCCTTACCCAAAGAGGGCAACAGCAGGGAATTCAAGAGCAGTAGCTAGCCCGGAGGGGCAGGCAATGAGAGGCCAGACACCAAACAGTGGCCCCCACTACTGTGAGAGAGGAGGCTGGAGATCTGGACAACCTGGTGGCAGCCCACAAAAATAAAGGAAAGCAGGCAGGAAGGGACAGGGTAAGAAGTACACAGAGGAGGGAGGCTGGACCTGATACCTTTAAAGTCCAGGAGGGAAAGCATAGAACCTGCAGCCCTGAGAGTGGGTACCCACCCTTCTGTTATCACTTCCAGGAAGAGGCAAGGCTGAATGCTTATTGGGGCCAAGGTACAGGGGGTAGGGCCAAGGGTAGTACATATGAGAAGATTCCAAGCCAGGCCTGGGAGGAAAAACTAAGTGGAGTACATGAGGGGAGGGGGAGAGAGCATGTGCACAGCTATGTGCTTACCTTGGGGGGGGGGGAAAGAAAAGTACCAGGGTGCCTTGAACCCTTCTCTCCTTTCCATTCTGAGACCAGCAGAGGGGCTGGCCCAAACCCATCCAGGACAGCAGAGGGCAGGTGAGCCAGTATAACAAAAGGGAAGCCTGACACATCCATTCAGGATTATGAACTCCACCACCAATAACCTAAAATGTTTGGGGGGGAGTATCTAAAAGCATTTGACTGTTGCAGAAGCTAAGCAGGCCTGAATCAGGTTAATGGATTGATGCAACCTGGGAATCTTTATACCATCTTGAGCTGCCTGGAAGAACGGTGGAATTTAAATGACATTAAGAACAAAAAATATGTGACAACCTAGTGAAAAAATGGGAAAACTGGGGAAAATCCATTTTTACCCACTTCCACCAGGATTTCTTTTCAGTTTTTCAAATGCAAAGAAGCTGATGAGAAAATTTTGAGGGGGAAAGTGCTTCTTAAATATAGAATGATGAATTCAATGGTTTTAAAGAAAATGACAAAATTATGTTATAGCTGCTGTTTACTTGCATAAATTGATTTCTTTTTTGTGTGAGTGGTATACAGTTTTTATTTTAGAAAACAAAGAGATAATACAAAGGAAGTTCAGAAAGAGGGGAAAGATTACATATCACAATTGTATATATTCCCAACAACTCCTTCATTACACTGAAATGTTTTGGGGGACACTGTTGATAAAGTACAATGATACTTACTTCTGTTGGTGTACATTTATATTCAACATGTGACATTTCAAATTTCATAACTAATCTTTTGCGGCTAAAATATTACTTTCATCATTAGTACATACGTAGTATTGCATATTTTCACCACTTCTGCATACTTCCTATTACTTTTAACAATATAATAAAAATATAGAAGTCTAATTTGTATCTCATAATTTTAAAAAAATTCTCCCCAAAATCCACTTCCTTACATACATTTATAGTCAAGATGTTACATTTAAACTGATTCTCATTCTGCTTCTTCAATACATTTGTATACAATATTTTAGACTATTTGCTGCACAGATAATTCTAGCAGCTGTCACCATGTATTTGAATATATCTTCCAAAAATTTTGGCGATTTGTTAGGTGCTATACCTAGTAGCACCCCATGGCTTCCATGGGGAATTTAAACTTTAATATATTTTACATTTCTCCATGCATTTCCTTCCAGTATCTTTTTGCTTTTTTACATGTCTACCACATACAGAAGAAGGTTCCATCTATGTCTTGACATTTCCAGCATTTTACTTTGTAGTTTTTATTTGATTTCTCAACACCCTTTGGTTATATACCATCTAAAAAACACTTTTTTCTCTTAATGCCTGGCTGTAAATCTGGTATCTTGTTCCCATAAACATTCCCATTGATGCATGGATAGCTGTTCCTTAATGTTCTGCATCCATTTAATCATACATTTTTTCACTTGTTCTTCTGTTTCTAGCTGGACCAATAACTTATATATCCATTGTAGTAAATGCTCTTTTTGTTTTTATAGTCAGCTGTTCGAACTCAAATGCATCTCTTAAAGCTCCACTTTCAGTGTTAATTATCTTCAATAGTCTTGAAGCTGATTGATAATATAACATCCATTGAATGTTTATTCCTTTTATTCCTTCCTCTCTAATACCTTGCCATGCCTTGATTTTCCCCTGAGCATTTATCATAATACCATATATTAAGAAACCATTTGTATTTCTCATGTTCTTATCATGATACGCTTCTATTGGGGATATGTGTGGAGAGTTTGGAGGGCTCAATAAGTTGTGGCATGCATAAATAACTGCGTAAACCTTCATCTAGGTTTGCTGATTCAAGTTTTGCTATTCTTTGTCTTGGGTTTTTAATCCAATCTGCAACCCAAACCAAACTGATTTCTAATACTTATGTACAACAAACAAGGGTTCTGGGCAATTATAATTCCTATACACATCTTCTGCAGCACATGAAAGAAACTGGTCTATGTTTGGAAATAAGCACACCAAATAAAGAAACAAGCTAACTGGTGAAAGGTTAGAGAAGCTTGTTTCAACCAGTGCAAGTCTTTGGTTTTCCAGTGTTCACGAAGTTAATAGAAACTACTGATCTTTCAGAAACTGATTCTGATTTGAGAAAGAAACTTGACAACAGCATTTTAAAGGATATATCATTTATAGTTTGTAGTTCAAAGGACATTTTATTGATTTATGTAGCTAATTTTTCCCACAGCTACTAGGACAGACATTACTGTGTGAGATGACATATTACTGGCCAACGTTTAACTTAATATCCAGATTTACTGATTGTTCTGAACTCAATAACATGAGATAATTAGAAGCAGTTTTTAAAGATATTGTTTGTGGTGTGTAGTGTGTACATTAATGTCAGCTATTAGGGCAGGGGTTTTTTGGTATTACTTCTGGAAAATGCTGGCTATATAGAGAGGAGTATTTCTAAGTGCAGACAATAAAACTTTATTTTGTTTACTACAATGTTAATTATTACTATTTTTTCCACCTATGCTCAGAACTGGATCTAACTAAGATACACTTGGAGGTTGCTGCTACATCTCTAAGTTTAGATATTAATTGTAAGAAGAGGGAACCCATGAGTATTCATAGGGGAGGGGAAATATAATCCCCCCCACATGAACTCCTACTTCCACCTTTCTAGTTCCAGCACTATTTCCTCTCCTTCCCTTCTCTACTGCTTCACATCCCCCCAATCCTCTCTTTCCCCCACTTACCCTATCTTTCTGTCCATCCCTTCTGTCTCTGCTTCGTCCCCAATGACACATTTCCACCATGCTCATGCCCTTGCCCCCCCCCATATTCCATTCCTTCCTTTCCTTCTCCTTGCTTACCTCTGACTTCACCTTTTCACTGTCTGTTACTGCCACCACATCACTCTGGCTTGGTAAAGCAACCCCTCACAGTGGTGCAGGCTTTGCTATTATGACAGATTGCCTCAGCACCCAAGATCTCACAAGCAGTGTTCCCTCTAAGCTGAGTTAGTGTGAGCTAGCTCACAGTTTTTTAGCCTCCGACTCACACATTTTGATCTTAGCTTAGGAAGGATGGTTCCAAAGCAAACTAATGTATGCAGTAGCCAAACAGCTCGCTCACAACTTTAATGCCAGTAGCTCACAAAGTAGAATTTTTGCTCACAAGACTCCACAGCTTAGAGGGAACATTGCTCACAAGGTGTTCTTGGAAGATCTTGGCTGTGAAGAAACACCATGTTTTGTTCACTGGGGAGGGGGATAATCCCCCTTTAATATTTTGCATTTATCCTAGCCCTGGATGGCTCTGTTCTGCATTTTTTTAAATCTTCCCAGGGACTAGCAATGGCTATTAGATAACATAGATTATCATTTCCACAATAATTTTCTCTCAAGAGAAAAAACCTGTGGGAATGCAGGATGGATTTTTTTTTCAGAATTTTGAACATTTCTAGAATACACATTGTAGACAGGTATAATAGTGTTTTTTTAAAAAAAAAAACACCCAGAAATTATGTAAATAGGACATAAACTAGCATCATCTGCACACAGAAACCAGAATAAAATGTTCTTTGTAAGTGCATCGAATCCACAGTTTCAATTCTGCTAAATGGTCAAGCCTTTGTCCAATTCACTAAATCTTCCAAAGGTGCAAGAAACCTTCTTGTGCTTAAAGGGTACCCTTTTAATGGAACAGAAACTTTAGATCCAACTCAACATTAATAAATAACTTAAAACACTTGACTAATCACAGCAAAATATTTAAAAACACTATTAATTGTTTATATAGTGTTATTTCAATGTTGGCCACATAAATTAACTTGAAAATCCTCCCAAAAGGCCTTTATGTAAGTCAGTGCTATCATCGTCTCACTGCAGATGAAATGATTAATTTACATAGTAAGTTGATCACTTTAACAATACTTGAGCTACAGAGTTCAGGGCTCACAATTCATTATATTAATCACTATGTTGCACCAGCTCCCAAGATTGATAGGTTAGCAGTGCAATCCTAAGAAAACTTTCCTGGGAGTAAGCCCCAGTGAACAGATAGGCTTGTCAGGACTCTTGCTACACCTATAGTGGAAGGCCTCTTGCTGACAAGTTCTGTTGCCCATGGCCGCTCAGACAACCAGGGGGACAATTTAAGAAATAAACAAACAAGAAACAGCAGCATCACTGACGTCACTACGTCACTTCTGAAAGGCTGGGGGCAGGGACAAGGAATAAAGAAGTGATAAAGAAGAGCTCTAGGAATCATGGAGAACACTATGGTAAAGCCATTCCTACTGATTCCTAGAGCTACCCTTTTTCACTTTCAGATTGTACCTGGAAGTGCCACAAAGATGTCGCTGATATTGCACTCCCCCTTGTCCCCACCCCCAGCCCACCCACCAGTAGCCAGGATCATCTGGCAACCCTGCTAATAGACCAGAGTAGAACGATAACATTTCTGGAAATTTTGAAGCCAGGGGGGAAAAAATTTTCCAGAAAAAAAGAAAAGTTTGTTGAGAAACTAAAATATATACAATTCTTACATTCCGGTTAAACCTAGATTTCTTTTACTCATTCAACAACATAAAATGTATGACTTATTTCCCATATAAATTTGAACTATTTGGCATATGTATAGAATTTAAAAGTATACATGTTTCTGTTTTCTGTAAGAAAAATTCAAAATATAAGAACATAAAAGAAGCCATGTTGGATCAAGCCAATGGCCCATCCAGTCCAACACTCCGTGTCACACAGTGGCAAAACACAGGCGCCAACATAAGGTCCACCAGCAGGCCCAAAACTCCAGAAGCCCTCCCCCTGTTGCCCCCCTCCAAGCACCAAGAATACAGAGCATCACTGCCCCAGACAGAGTTTTCCATCTATACCTTGTACCTAATAGCCACTGATGGATCTCTGCTCCATATGTTTATCCAATCCCCTCTTGAACCTGTCTATTCCTGTAGCTGCCACCACTTCTTGTGGCAGTGAATTCCATGCGTTAATTACTCTTCCTTTTATATGTTCTAAGCTTACTGCTCATTAATTTCATTGAGTACCCACAAGTTCTTGTATTGTGAGAAAGGGAGAAAATACTTCTTTCTCTGCCTTCTCTATCCCATGCATAATTTTGTAAACCTCTATCATGTCACCCATCAGTCGTCATTTCTCCAAACTAAAGAGACCTAACCTCTTTAACCTTTCTTCCTAGGGAAAGTGTTCCATCCCATTAATAATTTTAGTTGCCCTTTTTTGGACCTTTTCCAATGCTATAATAACTTTTTTGATGTGGAGTGACCAGAACTGTACAAAGCATTCCAAATAAGGCTGCACCATTGATTTATACAGGGTGTTTTATGATACTGGCTGATTTGATTTCAGTTCCCTTCCCAATAACCTCCAGCATAGCATTTGCCTTTTTTATTGCAGTTGCACAATGAGTCAACATTTTTAGTGAGTTATCTACCGTGACTCCAAAATCTCTCTCCTGGTCAGTTACTGTCAGTTTGGACCCCATCAGTTTGAACCCTCCCTGGCTGGTTTTCTGCTACTAGTATATTTGCAGAATTTTTTTATTATTGGTCTTTATGTTCTTTGCAATATATTCCTCATAGTCCCTTTTTGCCTGTCTGCTCACCAACTTGCATTTTTTTGCCAAAGCCTGTGCTACCTTTTATTTACCTCACTTTATTTACCTCACCTTCCACCATTTAAAGGAATCATTATCATTTACCACTTCCATTACTTTGTT